TGCTCTAAGGGTTTTCTCATTCAGCGCGGTGAAACAGACATATTTGATAAATCTTTTTTTCGCACAGATAGAAGATTTTACGGGTGTAATTGTCTTTGGGGATTGTTTAATACTGTTTAAGGAATATTTGTAAATTTAGAGGATATTTCAGTGAAAACAAGAAGGTTCCATTTCGTACCTTCTTGACTCTGTTACAACACTCTTTTATATTTCGTTTTACATCTTTGTATAACTTAAAATTATTTCTCAAATATTATTAAACAATTCCCAACAACAATCAAATCTATGAACCTGTCCGCCTCCGCAAAACAATTAATGAAACATATTTCATTTTCTCGGTGCGGAATATTATTAACATTATTATTATAAATAATATCATTATTAATAATAAAATAATGTTATTTATAATAATTTCGGTGCGCTGAATAGGAAAACTTATCAGTATTGTCATAGTCGCGCCCGCGACTTATAACAGATGCTTCCAAACCTGCGGTTACTGATTTTGACGAGCTTTGGCAGAAATGTAGTATAGGCCTAGCAAAAGATACTGTTAACCGGAGACGATGCAACACTCAAGCATTTGAGAGAAATTATAAATTGAAATTTCGCGATTTTAAGTTTGCTCCGTTATTCTAACATTTGCAGAGTTATTTCCAAATGACGGCGTAAGGCAGCAAACTGTGCGCGGTGCTGGTACTCGCCAGGTTTCGTGTTCCCACCTAGCTATGTTTTGTTATTTTTTTTTAATTTATGTTTTTTTTACTCTTACGAATAAAAATATATTATTGTGTCCGAGCCACAAGGTTTGTGGCGGCGTCCGTTGTCCGTGAGCCTTAGGCATCTGATTTTGACAACTGAACAAAGATTGTCTGTGTCCGCTCTTTTGACTAAGCGAACAAGAGGCCGGGACGGCTCAGCACTGAGCGCGGGGTTGGTCGTAAAAGGAAGATAATCGTCTTTTTGGTTTCTCGTGGGATCGGTCCTCCTTTTCCTTCCTGATAAGCGTCGACGTTCGTCGAGGCGCTGGGAGGCCAGTGCTCGCCAGTTCAAACGCGAGCACCACTCGAACACACGATCCCAATTTTTATTATATAAAAATAATACAAATAAACTTTGACAAGTGCGATTGCTATGATCGTACGCGGCACGTCCGCTCGAATCGCAATGCGTTGAGGCCGCACTCGTAGTTCGTACGATGAGGTCCGACCGAAGCGGTCGAGCAGCTGATTTGATAACCAAACGAAAAATGGAGCGGAGCGAGTTGAAAAATTACTTGCGAGCGGTTTCGCGTGAAGAAAGAATCTGGTCGAAGCGAAGAACCGAAAAACGTTCGTCACTTCGGTCTCACATTTATTTTAGTTTTTTCCGTCGCTCGGAGAAGATATGGTAACCGCTATTGTCGAAAACGTGACCATATTTGGCAGTCACATGCGGACCAAACGTGACAACAACAACGCGGTGCTCGATAGCAAACATGCACGGCGTTCTCACGCGCGAGTCACGCAGGATGTCTCGTGATATCGAGAATCCTCGATTTTGTCGACACAAAGAGCGGCGCCTTGGCCGGATCGCAAACAGTCTGGACGATGGAAAATCGATAAGAAGTAAACAGCAGTTGACTGAGAGTCTCTGGCTGTCATCGTAGACAGACGCGAGAATTGTAGATCAGAGAATTATTTTTGTTTAAAGCTTGAGTGAGCTGCGCTCACTCAAGCTTTAAACAAAACTATATAGTAAAGCTTGTTATTCTTGCGCGAGTGTTTTCATTTACCTGAGTGCAAGCGCGAGTGCGAGAGTGAGCGCAACAATATATATTACAGAAGAATTGAAAGATAAATTCATTATGCAAATAACCTTTTCTATATTTTATGAAGGAGAATTCTCGCATTATAATTCTTATATATTATATTTTCATATATTATGTTATTTATATACTTCAATATTTATATAATACGCGTTTATATAACATTACATATATATATATAAATTTTATGTATATACATACAAATGTATTAATTAAAAAATGTATGCATTAAATACTAATTATATATAATATATACCTGTTTTTGAATTGTGTGTCCATCCTCCTTCATAAAACATAGAAAAGGCTGTTTGTATAATAAATTTATCTTCCTATTTTTCTGTAACATATATTTTTATTCATAAGAGTAAAAAAAATATAAATTAAGAAAAAATAACAAGACACAACTAGACGCGAACACGCAATCTGGCGAGTACTACCACCGCGTTCAGTATGTTGTGCTACACCGTCACTTGGAAATAGCTTTACAAATATTAGAATAACAGAGCATACTTAAAATAGCGAAATTTCAATTTGTAATTTCTCCTAAATGCTTGAGTGTTGCATTGTCTCCGGTTAACAGTAGCTTTTGCTGGACCTATACTACATTTCTGCCAAAGCTCGTCAAAATCAGTGACCCCAAGTTTGGCAGCAGTCCAATTCAATTCAATTCAATTCAATTCAATAGATGGCTCTGAGCAAATTGGGTACTGATCCAACGCCACTCTCTCGGTATAAGTTAGACAGGATACGGTGTATGTCGATCACAATGATTGACTGGTCTCCTTTAGGAATTTTGCAATTTTCGCATAGCTGGAGATAAATTTGTTGTTGAAGGCTGAGTTAACGACCTCATTACTGTTAACAATATCTCCCTTATGATAAAGTTTTAATAACAGTTGGTCTGATTTTTTTGCAAATAAGGGGCGTCTAAAGAGGATATGATCCACATCTCGATTATACCATCCACATAGACAAGCAGTATCCTCTATATTGAGTTTCTTGGTTAAATGCTCCGTAGTGCTAATATGATGCGATCGTAGCCTTGCCATCAAGGTGATGGTTCTTCTTTTGACGTGGTTCAAGGTAGCGAACCATGGTTTGGTGGCCAGCTGAGAAACTTCAGTTCTATATTTAACGCCTTTGTATAGAAATTCATTTTCAAGAAGCTCCAAAGCATTCTCATGAAAGTTCCTCTTAAAACCATCAATAGAGTCCCCCAGGGATGGAGATGTACGCAGTTCATTAGGTGGTTCAGTACTGCGTGCTCCGAGTCCGGCAAGAGCGTCTGCCAACTCATTGCCAGGAATGCCCCTATGTCCTGGTGCCCAGAATAAAGTGATATCAAGTCCATTAGCCGAAGCTTTCCACAGAGCAAATTTAATAGCTAGAATAATACTAGCGGCTTTTCCCTCCAAATCATCTGAGCCAATTAATGATATTAATGGCATTAATGATATTAAGAGAATCGGTAAAAATACCTGTTTTTATGAAATTCTCACCAGAGACAATATTAACAGCCCAAAGGACAGTCAATGCCTCAACGTAAAAGATATTACTGGAATCAAAGGAATGGATGGATTCACGGAATTCAGAAGACGGGATGTATACCCCAAATCCAGCCTTCCCACTCTCAAGGACTGAGCCATCGGTGTACACCTCCGTGGAAAGATTTAAATCACGAATAATGCCACAAGCACGTCTATGCAACCCGTTAACCGAGATACACTTATTATTGGAGTCAAACCAAAGATTGCCATTGCTCCTATTGAATCTCTTGATTTCATCAAAGAAATTGACATTAATGTTAGGACGAAAAAATCTAAGCTTAAAGGGATATTCAAAGGAAGAGGGAAAAGAGTGATTTCTCATTATCTTAAGAGAGTCCTGATATGTTAAAACTTTAGACAGAAATGTCGGGACAGGGGTCAACTCATTACGAGCATTACATCTGTCAGAGACAGACACACCAGTCATCGACAAATCTAGTCAACGGATTATTCGATAAAGTACAACTTTTGACAAAAGTCTTCATTTCCAAGAACCTCCACCGGAAGACAAGTGGCCACTCAGCAGTCTGATCCAGTAAAATATTATAGGTAGGGGTAGATCTCACAAGACCCAGAATTATACGGACACAACTATACTGAATCCTGTTCAATTGCACGATCAGATTCCTAGGAACTTCCGTGAGTACAATGCCACCCCAATCTAGCATTGACCTGACTGAGCTTTTATATACCGTTAATAGAGTAGCGGGGTGTGCATCCCACTTGATCCCAGCAAAGGATTTGATCAGATTAATGCGCTTCTGACCCTCATCTTTAATCTTTTTGATGTGAGGTTTCCAAAAAAGATTTGAGTCAAACACGAACCCCAAAAACGTAACATAGGGAACAGGAGGAATGATAGACTCCCCTAGTTGCACCTACAAACGATCAAAATTGACGATGGACTGCAGTGTATGAAATCTCTTATGCTGATCGAAAATACACCAATTTATCTTCTCAGTAGAGATACTTAGATCAAGTCTTGACAGGTTAACATTGAGAATTCTAAGATTAGCATTTAAATACCTCGAAATAAAATGAATATCCTTATTTTTGGTAAACATAACAAGATCATCTGCATATGCCATTATCTCAACTGAATCATCTAAGACAGAGTGTATGTTGGCTATGTATAAATCGAATAACAAGGGATTAAGCACTGATCCTTGGGGGAGCCCCAGGGAGCCAGTACGTGACTTTAAAAAGTGCCCGCCAAAATATCCAAGTATGTTGCGATTTAATAGCAAATGTGATATGAATATAATAATCTTGTAAGGAATGCCAAGATCCTCGAGGATATTAAGCAGCTTAAGTGGATTAACATTATCGAAAGCTCCTTTGAGATCTATAAAGACCGTACCGATCATCATCTTATTTAAAAAAGCATTACTTATAAAAGCCTTCAAGGCTAAAACACTGTTGGCATATGACCGACCTCTTCTGAATCCGTTTTGGTAATGCGGTAAAACACCATGTTTTGGTAATGCGGTAAAACACCATGTGCTTCACACCACCATTCCAGTCGATTTTTAATAAGACATTCAAATATTTTGAGAAAGGAGTTAGATAAGGAGATAGGACGTAATTTAACAGAATGAGGTTTGGGAATAAAGACCATATAAAAAAGTTTCCAGAAAGGAGGATAAATAAAGAATTTAATAAAGAATTCATTAAATATTCTAAAAATGGCATCAAAACACCATTGCGGAAGGTGCGATAATATTCGAAAAGAAAGAAAATCGGGTCCCGGAGCTTTATTCTTTTTCTTTTTAAGATTATGTTGTACTGCTAAGCTAAATTCATCCTCACCAAAATTCTCCTGAAGGACTTGACAGTCATGATGATGATTGATGTGCGGCGATGAGCAATTCAAGTCTTCATTTTTAATGTTATCTCTAGTAAAAGATGACGTTACAATACTAGGATGTTGTCTAGTCACAGTATCTTGAGAAGTTTTATTAGCTATTTCCAAGCATTTATCAGATTGTTCGAAGTTATTATTAGAAATTGATTTTTTCTTTTAAACGCCGAGACCAGGTTCCAAACTATTTTAATATCCATATCTTTGTTCAGAGAGGAGCAGAATTCTTTATACTTTTGATCACGAATTAGTCTAAGCTGTTTTTTAACAGACTTACATATAGCGTTATATTTAGCCAAGTTTTCTCCAGTAAGATGTTCTTTATATTCATGAAACGCATCAATCTTTGGTTTGGTAATTTTGGCACAGTTCTCATCCTACCACGGGGAAGAAGGCCTACGCAAGTATCCCGATTCCCTCTTAACACGTGCTCCAGAAGCACAAAAAGAATCTTTCGTAAGCTTAACAAGATCTTCATATGCAGAGACTGGGCTTATGTTTCCTCCTTCTTGCATGAAATCTTCATAAAGAGAAGAGTTGTTTATATGTGCATCAAACGCTTTCCAGTCAACTTTGGCAATGGAGAAGTGTGATCTATAAACAAATTTGTCAGGTATTAAGTCAGAGAAGGAGATGCTAATAGGATAATGGTCACTACCATGTGAATTATCTATAATGTCCCACTCAAACGTGTTGCACAGCGATGGCGAAACTAAAGTAATATCAATGGCGCTAAAACTGGCCATGTCAACAGAGTGCCAAGTTGGAAAGCCATTATTGCATACACTAAACTGCGAATTAGAAATAGCATCATAAAAGTCGTTACTAATGCGATTAGGAATACTAGTATAATTATACCACAGAGGATGTTTATAGTTAAAATCACCAGTAATAATAACCTTGTCACAATTATCAAAACAAGTTAAAATTTCCTCCCACCCATTCTTATTACAGGATGAGTCAAACAGATTATTATTAGGAAGGTTGTAAAACGACACGAGAACTAATTGTGAATTATTGACAAAAAAGCGGATAGAGCAGCAATTGATATTATATTTATAACACAAACGTTCTAGAGCATCTTTGAAAAAAGAAAATTTAATATCACTTCGACAGGCAATGGTAGAACCTCCCCCCATCGAATTGCGATTGTGAGTTACTAACTGAAAATTAGGGATGTTGAAGATGTCCGAGTCGCTAAGCCAAGTTTCCGAAAAACAAATAAACTCGGGAAGAGATTCAAAAGAATTGAGCAAGACAATTAGGTCATTAATAGAACGACCTAGCTTTAATAGAACGACAATTCCATTGCAAGATATTAAAGAAAATTCCCTTTGGTCGATTTTGGTCCATAGAGCAAAAGAGTAAAAGGCAAAACTGTTTGAACATTAGATTAAAGAAGAGGCTAGGAATGAGAAGGGTGCAAATGAATTTAATAAAATTCCTGCGGTTCGCCGTCAGGAATATCAAGATGATGCTTGAGAATAAGTGAAGAAACTAAATCAATAACACGAGAAAGTTGTTCAGGATATCCAGCAATAGAGAGACTAAGTTATTGATTTTTTTTAGATGATGATTGGAAATTAGTCTGGAATTCTCTAAGATAGCAATTAAACTCTAAAAGATAGTCAATTTTAGCATCAGGGTTGAACTCACTAGTATATATGTTACCCTCAGGAATAGATTGGGGAGCGGTTATTTCAGAATGTTCTTCTTGTGCAGTGGAAGAAACAATTGTTGGCGGAGTCAAGGAAGAAGGAGGGGCTTCTTCTAAAGATTTGTCAGGGGGCTGAATAGTGCCTCTTACAGAAGGTTGTTTGATCAAATCATACCTTTTACGTTTTCGGCCTGTAGGCTGTTTTGAGCGACTAGGTTCTGAGCTTATATGGCTCTTATCTCTGTCAGGGGCATTCACAGCGATCTGAGGCATAGCGTTACCTTCATTCTCAAGAGTCCTACCCAAAGTCTGCTCTGTAAACCAGAGTATGAAGTTCCCAAAAGTAGGTAGATCATTTCTTCTGTCAGCATCAATCTTATACCAGTCATCAGGTAGACGTGAACCAACTTGCTTATGAAAGTTGAGTGCATCGCTGGGTCCTAGTCCCATCTTAGCCATAATCACTTTCAGATGACGACATTCTATAAAAACAGGACAATTAGAGTCACTGGCACTATGATTTGTAGACGTTAACTTGTTCCTTATGCAGTTGTTACGTCCTGTAGATTTAATTAGTAAAAATTCTTTCCTCTCGCGGATTTATATTCTCCTAATATAACTATAATAGGAATATATACATATATAAATATAAATTAGGAAACAGACCCATTTGGCGAACAGCCGTCGCGCCAAATGAAAGGCGATTCGGGAAAATTCCATAACAGGAAACAGTGCCCTGTTGTAAAAATCTACGTTTTCGTTTAAAGTTTATATCTGGGTAGTGTTCGCCAAGTGTGTCCGTCCTAGTTATAAAAATTTGAAACTCCGCGCTAACAAACCTTCAGTAAAACAAAGCAACACACAGCATTCCTGCTCTAAAACTTGAAACTTACATCTTCCCAATCCAAAACCATATGTGTCTACCCTATCAGTCAACACTATCAGTCAACCAACAAAGCTTACTTCACTGATAGTCATAAAATCTGATCTCAGCCTTTGATTTACGGCATTTTGATTTTTCCAACCGGCCACTTGTATACATTTCTCTATCTCAAGAATCCACCACCTCCACGCTTGTCGCGCCTAATTCATTCAACCAATCATATCATATCCACCTAAAACTATGAGACACCCACGCTCCACCCTTTAGCCCTTCCATATTCATATCTCCAAAAACTAACTGTCTCCTCCCACGATGTCTTTTAACTTCGCTAATGGCTGAGACTTTTTCCCACTAAGACCAATTCACCCCTTCCTCAAAGGCCATCTCTCTACCCACCCTGATAGCTTCTGCCTCCGATTATCACTATAAAAACCGCGGTAATCCGCCTCCGCGACCCTACTACTCTGAGAGACAGAAGAACACGGAAACGAAAAAGCTCAAACTCCCAGATATTCAAAACTCAGATATTCAGAACTCGGATATTCAAATCTTGAGCATTAGGATTCAGATTCAAATCTTCATAATTCCAGTTCATTCAAATATTTAGTATTCAAATATTCAAGCATTCGGATTTTGGAAAAAGTGCTTCCTCTTTATATAAGTGAACGACTATTTGGTGCCTCAATCGGAATATGAATATTGGAAACGACAACACCTACGCAGATCTGCGCCATTCTCACTTCTGCTTGTGTCAACTCATCCTGAATCAGTAGTAAGTTTCATTTTCTTTACTTTATCTTCCTACTTCTATTTTATTTATTCCACCCTTGAACTTTCTATTCATATTCGTTCCCTTTCCCATCCCTTTCTTTTTCCATTTCATACACACACACATACACTCATTTATCTAAGTATAATTGTCATGTTCAAACCATTCAATTACATCATTTTGGGTCGCTATTCATCTTAATAAACCTGTAAAAATTCAATCCGCACCGTTATATCCTATTATTAATAAATTTGTTAATTCAAACCGTGCCATTATATAATTTTGTCATCTTTATTTTAATAAATATGTTAATAGTTATTATCACCAATTAATTTCAAAATCATCCCACCTTCCAACAGTCAACTCATGGTCCTATCCCCGGTAAAAGGACTCGCGTCCTTGACCGAAAAACGGATTGCTCGTCGTACGTCTGTGACCGAGTAAAGGGACCCGTCGGGTCCCTGACCCGTTCACTGGCACGCGGTTACGAACGAGGTTCGCCTTACTCGCGAACGGAAAGTTGCGCTCCTCCTCTAGGACGTAACACAGTTGATGCACAAGGGATTTCGCGAGATGCAGCTCTCAGTGTCATGGTCTCTGGAGGCACAGTTGCCACAAACCCTGGCCTTCACTCCTCCCCTGCACTGCATCTCAAGGTGCCCAAAACGCTGACAATTAAAACACCGTTTCACTTTTTGAATGTAAGGTGTCATTCTAATTTTCTTTCCCATATATAGAGCAGCAGTAAGTTAGATGTGATTTTTAAAGGTAAGCATTAAAATATTGGAATTCTTTCTGTTAGAGTGATCATTATTTTTGGGATCCAAACGTTTCCCAGGCAGAAATTTAGCATTAATTAACTTAGGCCATGTCTCGTGCCAATAAGGGGGAGGCAACAAGTTATTCAAAATCTCCTCTTTAGTTTCAGATGAATCAATATCCCGTGTGATGACCTTAACCGATACTCGGTAATCAGGGATATAAGCAGACCAAGTAGTGCCCGAAACAATATCTCGTCCCAGCTTTATTAAGCAAGTGACGAAGCTATTCGCAGTGGTAGGATCCGGAAATGTGACCGAGAATTTATGAGTACCGAGATTTTTTAGATTAAAGGTAAACTTCCATAAGTCCGGTACCACCTTGTTCAGTAGTTTGCCAATACCGATTTCACTAAGATTTTTCCTATGTTCTTCATCACGGCTATCAGAAATTTTCTCAAAATGCACCTCAAAGAGTCTATGAGCGTGTCCGTCATACAAATTTTTCAATAATTTCTGTAAATATTCTGGAGAAGTTGCGCCGAAGGTCTTAGGCTTACGTACATTATCCAGTGTAACAGTATCATTAGTCGCATGAGCACTCGAGTCCTCGCTCAGGGTGTTCGGATTTTGCTCTGTAGTAGAATCCATATCAATCTCCAGGAGAATCGAGTCCGTTTCTTTGTCCATATCGGGAAAGCGGTATTCAAAATGGCGGGAAAAAAGTGCGTAAGATGTTTATCAAGAAATTTGCAATCCAAAATCTCAAGTTCAATCCGAAAAACAATTCACGAGTGAAGCCAAGGCCGTTATAAAGATAATCACCACCGAAGAAAGTACGAGAAACGTCGTGAAAACGACTGATTTATTTTCACGAGAAACGAGCTCAGAAAGAACGACACGTTACGTTCACATCGACCGCACGAATCTTTGGCAGCAGCCCTTGTCAGATTATAGCCCAGAAAGATCTCGCGTCGCTGAGCGAGAACGAGAGCGAGAAAGAGGGAATAATATCTCTCTGTCGCTTGGCGCGCCGACGATTGCGCGTGGTCCACACGAATAGACTGAGCCGGCTATGTGTGCGTGCGTGGTGGGGGAAATCAGAAAAGAGTCATGGACATTGGCATCGTGGTTCATGCACGGTTGTGCAGAGGGCGTTTCACACTGGGCACGGCTAGAGTGCCTCTAATCAGAGTGGCGACAAGTTGGGAGGTCCGCCATGTTTTATCGAAATCGGGTGTGTTCAGACATACGCCGTCAGTACTGAAAATCTATGAAATGTACAATTTATGAACTGACCGTAAATATCGGAACATAGTGCAAAAAGTAACACAAACATTCGTATAACCTGTAAGCGTTTGACTGTTTATATTTTCGTTTTTATGGTTTTTATAGTTTCGTTAATTATTGCAAAATGGTTGGATGTACCATACCATTTTGCAACAATTCCTCAGAAAAGGGATATATTCTGAAAATAATCCCGAGAGATGATGAACGTCGACGACAATGGATAGAACGTATAAATACAAAGTATAATTGGACGCCAGCGTTACGTTGCGTTGCGTTTGCAATTTAAAAATAAACGTAAAATTGTATTACCGAATCGTAAATTCTATGACAGCAAGTCCATGGCGATGCATCATTCGTTCAAATAACTGCAAATCTATATACGTCTATTAATTAAATTATAGTTCTAAGTTTATTTAAAGTTTATTGCAAGTGTGTTGCAAGTTTATTTAAAGTTTATTTCAAGTTTGTTTCAAGTTTATTTCAAGTTTATTTCAAGTTTATTTTCAGTTTATTTAAATGTACTTACAATAATTGTGCAACATGATTACAATGTTTTGTGCAATAAAACACTATTCTGGCATTAAATAATACTTTGTTTACGCACCATTTGTTTATTTTCATTTATGTATTTGTTAACAATAAGTATCATTGTTTTATATGTTACTGTGATAATATGTTTTCCGAAAATGCGAAAAAACTCGTTTAATAACTGGCGGGAACGGATAAAACATGGCGGACCAATGAAAAGAGATATTCAGGTGTCGTCACTCTGATTAGAGGCACTCTAGGCACGGCTAGAGTACCTCAAGTCAGAGTATGGACACCGTCCGCCATTAACAGGGAACTGTTGCGCGCCACATTCAAATTAATTTAAATATTCTAAACGCAGATAAGTAAAAAATAACGAAAAAAAGGTTATTTACATATAAATACACAATTTAAATTAATATTTAATCTTATGAAAAGTCTCTAATCTTATATAATCAGATTGAGAATAATCTTATAGAATTTTCGTAGGTTTTCACTTTGGTTATTAAAATATGGACTGCTAGTACTAAGTAGAGTTGAAGTGCTATTTTAAATAACACGGCAGTCATAAATTAACCACATAATTATACCTTTCGTGTATCTATTTACAACTTTATACACATTTTTATTTTTTTTTATTGATTGTTAAACTTATATAATTTCTTTAACAAGAAATATTACTTTAAAAACTACCAAGTAGTATGTATAATATATAATATATAATGCAGATAAATGATTTAATAAAATTTGCAGCAATAATATAAATACAAATCCCAAAATAGATGAGTGTTATAACTAATACAATAGTTTTTCATCAAGTTATTCAAATTCAATTTATATACAATTATTAAATGTGGATTTTTTAGTAAGTCTTTAAAGCCCTAGAGGAAGACTCAAAAGATATAGGATTTTTATTCACTGAAACCATCGCAGGTATTAATTCTCTGATCTTAGAATTTCTTTACATGAGTGTCCATCAATGTCTGAAAGAAATTTTTCTTTAATATCTCATCAGTGCATGTTACATAACATTAGGCCGTTTTTCACAGACCGCAACAATATTTTCATATAGTAACTCCTGTATATGGACCTGAAATTTCTTTTTTTTTTGGTGACGCAGGGGAAATCCATCATGGATACTCCCGACCCTCGGAGGGGTTGGGGGTTATGTCGGACTCCTACCGACTAAAACCTCTGCGGGATGCCTACCTGTCGGACCGGTAATGTGAGGAGTCAGGGGAACAGCTCCCGCATTCCCTTCCCGACACCCCGGCCCCAGGACTCTCTTTCGGGAGTCCCACGCCACCTG